CAGGACCGCAGATTTAATTTTTAAAAATATTAACATTAATTTTACATTTATTTAAAAAACGAGGGAAAAATTTCTTTCTTCTGATTTAATTTTTTACAATATTAACATTAATTTTACATTTATTTCAAAAACGAGGGAAAAATTTCTTTCATCTGATTTAATTTTTTAAAATATTAACATTAATTTTACATTTATTTAAAAAACGAGGGAAACATTTCCTTCATCTGATTTAATTTTTTAAAATATTAACATTAATTTTACATTTATTTCAAAAACGAGGGAAACATTTCTTTCAGCTGATTTAATTTTTTAAAATATTAACATTAATTTTACATTTATTTCAAAAACGAGGGACAAATTTCTTTCATCTGATTTAATTTTTTAAAATATTAACATTAATTTTACATTTAATTCAAAAACGAGGGAAAAATTTCTTTCATCTGATTTAATTTTTTAAAATATTAACATTAATTTCACATAAATTTTTTGCGTCGAATTACAAACACAACTGGCGTTACAAAAAGGTATTATTTTTACATATATTGTAAAAACGAGAGAGAAAAATTTTCTTTTCGGATTTGGTTTTTCAAAATTTTTGAAACATTACTTTGTTGCGTCGAATTAATTCTTTGAGCCCCAGAATCCCCTCACTACAAGAAAACTTCTTAATGATAACATCTCGCGGTAAATTTTAGTAAAAATTATTGCTTTTTATATCCTTACTATTCCCCGAAAGTTTCAAAATCGTTGAAGGTGAGATAGGATTTTATTTGGAAATAGAGTTTTCTGGCATCTTCTAAGCAAAGTCATGATACGATAGTGTTTTAAAAACAGGTCTCGATAAGGATTGGAAACATGTTTTAACGTCTGTAGTCAATTTCAGTCACGCTTTCTGGAATCTCAACCTTTCTGGTCAAATAAATTTCATTAGTCATATAGACGGTTGAGATAAAGATAACTAACACAGATATCCTTTCGATTACTTTTTTTTCGATAAAATTAAAAGAAAAATATAAATTTTTATTTTAA